ACTAATTTTTATTCCTAAATAAAGACCTTCTGAAAGTAAATTTGTAACATTTTAACAGTATAGAGCTGATGCCAGGTATTTGTAGTGAAATTTATCTTTAGGATGCTTTTTTGTTTTTCTTTGGTTTAATCTACAAAAAGATTTTTCAAGAATTCTAATAAAATGTTTGGAGTTTGGTTAATTAGTATTATCCTAGTCGTGTGTGTAATTAATATGCCAGTTGTGGTCTGCCTGGCAAGCCAGCAGTATGCTATGCGCTGACATAGTGTTGAAAGTATAATGTGGGCAGAAGTTCAATGAAACCAAAGGAAAGTTCCACAGTACTGTTTGGGAAAAGTCAGACAGGATTATTAAGTAAGCTTTCTAAGCAATAAGTGAAAGTTTAAAAAAAATTTCTGTAAGAGAATCTTAGCATATCAAACCCAGCCTATTTCCAGACAAGCTTTAACAAAGTTTCTGTTGCATCCTTATGCAGGGATGTGCATTTCTATGAAGTTACGCAGAGGTGATACAGCTAGAAAACAATAAATACTCTTAGAACAAATAGTAAGGCACAGAAGAGAAGATAAAACAAATTCATTTCTGTTGTTTGGCATCCAGAATCCAAATTATAGGTGGGGTGAAGGATCTGTGGAAATGGTCATACTATGAAAGACAGAAAAAACAGTGCTGCTGTTGAACTTCTGTAGTTAACAGGATCCCAGAGAAATCACAAATGAAAACTAGGACAGCTGATGTCTACTATTACTGCTTTCTTCTTGTCAACACATCTTTTGAAACTGTTTCCCATTTTGTAATTGAAAACTTTATTTAGTCAAGCAAAGTTTTAGATTCTTAATCCTTGGCTAGAAAGAACTGATGCCTTTCATTTTTAAGTTTTTCGCTAAGATAAACAGTAATTTCTAAATCTGTCTTTGTTTAGCTTGAAGTCAGTTGAATAAACCTGTAACTGCAAAAAGCTGATTATAAATTTAGTGTGTTTTAATCTTGCTTTAGATGTCTTCTATTAAACCATTGATTCAAATTATGTAACGAGGGAATATCTCTGAATTCCATAGTACTCTAGTTTTTTAGTACTTCTCCTTTTTACAGTATTAAGAATTTTTAAAAAAGTATATCACATGGTTTGGACAGTATTCATCTTTCTTGGTTATTTTAATTTTTACATATATAATGCTTAAATCTACAGAGAAAATTCCTGCACATACTGGTCCATTTTCTCTTCTTTGAGTAAAAAAAGTATAGAGTGAAAATTTTTGCAATTTAATTTAAAAATATGTATTTTCCTCTGTTTGCCTATTGTGAATGGAGTTGAAACGGAACATTTGATATGGATATAATATTCTAGCAAAGTTCATTTTTTTATCTTAATAAAATTTGTGTCTTTACAATCATCATTGTTCTAAAGGAGTAGTCCAATGGGTAGAACACAGGAGAATAACATAAAACAAATGAAGGCTTCAGGTAATATATGAATTCCTAACATTTTAATTTGGAAAGACTACTTGGATCTTCTTGCCAGGTCCTCTCTTTTCACATCAAAAGGGGCAATGAGAAGAATGAAGTTTAGTAAGTGTTATGGTAAAAATGGAAGCATTATAATTTCCTAATCTAATTTTAAAAGTTGAAGAACATCTTTAAGTTATGCCCACAGTTTTATATTTCTTCCTTCTTAACTTGTCTTATTAGTCAATTCTTTTCCAGTGAAATAATTCTGAAAATTCCTTTTGTAATCCAAATTCAGTATTAGGTCAATACTAGCTTTTGGGGTGGTATTTTTAAGCCTTAATAATACAGCTGTACTTTGACCTAGAAACCTATTCTGATTTGATAGTTGTAACAACTATTTTTTTAACATCTGTCTGCAGTTTGGTTTACATGCAAGTATTTACTTACAATTCAAATATTATTATTACACAAATAATACAAAGACTTGGAAGAAACATTTGAAAACATTTTACCAGGATCAGTGGAAGTTGTTATTGGAGGAAGATATTGGATCAGTCTCTTCTAGTAGAAGATTGTATAGTATGTAGCTGTGTTGTGACTAGCAAAAGGTCTTTCACTGAGCTCTTGAGAAACAGTGCATTCAAAAAGACTGAGTTCCTATTTGCAAATCACAGTTCAAAGGCTTTCTCTCATATGTTGTCAAAGGGTTTTCATTCTCCGAGGAGTCAATGGAGTTGTTCCTAGTTAATTATTCAAAAGTAACCCCTTTGGGCTGTCCTTTTAATTGTTTTCCAGGTGCCATAAACTGCAGATTTCAGCAAGAAATAAATATAGATACAGCACAGTAGGAAGTTTTATAAGCCAGCAGCTTCTGCAAAGGATTGTCAAGAACAATCTGCAAGGAGACTGGTTTTGGCATATAGATTTTGAGCTGAAACAGTACAGGAAAGGAAGTGCTACTTGCCAGCTCTCACCACCATATGCTTTATTATAATGTAATGTACAAAGAATATGGAGATAGCAGCTGCTCTAGGGGGAGGTGGCCACTTGTTAGATTTTGAAACCTTTCTGAAATATCTGTTCATTTTCTTTTCACTGGTATTTTTTCCCCTTGCTTACGTATTTGCATTCAAAAGATGTTCACTAAAATAAATCTATTTTTAGACCACAGTAAGAAGAGGAGAGTGTGATCTACTTATTGTTGAAATAAAAATAATTTTAGAAGGACTCTAATATTTAGTTTTATATGTTGTGAAGTATGGGCAGATTTTTATTTTCTCAATATCCATTCACATCACAGCGTGATGAAATCATGTATAAATTAACTATTGTCTGGGATTGTATGTCTTTGATGGAAAGAATTTTATGTCTTTCTCATTGGTTTCCAGTATGTGTTTGTTAATGGCTCGATCACATTCACATTTAAGTCAATGTCAAGATTTGCTGACTTCAGTGGCAGAGAGAAACAAAGCATAAGTGAGGATTTAGGTCTAAAATGGAAAGAGTTTGCTATGATATGCACAGACAAATCAGTCTTTCCTAGCATCACTACCCAGGCAGTGAAGTCGATTACTCTGTTGTTTTGAGAAACCTGAAGTTCTTAGCATGTTTCAGGAACTGTGTGCCTGCAATGTCATGAAAATGAACCTTATTTATTTAAAAACCCCTGTATTTTAAAGGGTATTTTTTGACTCCCAACTGATGATTTTCATATCCATTGAATGTAACAATCCTTTCAGATACACATAAGTACAAGCACTTGGGTTTTAAATTAGGGATTCTTAAGTGAATTTGAGAATCCAGAAGGAAGTTACATCACAGTATAATGGGATTACAGCAGGGCAAGTTGTTATAGCATACAATAAAATTAATATGGCCTATTAGCATTTTTGCTGAGTGTGAGTGTTTTACATTGACCCTAGTGTAGTGCTAAAATGTCATAGCAACACAGATGTGACCCATATAACTCAGTAAAAATGATAGTTCATATAGAAGAAAGGTGTTACAATTCCTTTTGGAAGGATAAATCTCTTTGAGACAGAGATTTTTAGATTATTATGTATTGCTCACCATAGAAGCATCTCTCTGAAAAAGAAATTACATTAATCTATCTGTCACCAGGTATATATTTTCCTGGTGATAGAAAGATAATTCTTATGGAAAAAATCCATGTTTGTTTGCTTACTTCAGTTCTAGACCAGTCTATTATTATCTATCTGACCTTCATTTTTTAAACCAGCTGCAATTTTGGTGGTTATCTGGAATACTTACTTATTTACTAATGTTTACTTAAAGGTCCCCTTTTCCCTTTTTGTGGCTGTACTTGTTGCAAGAATTCAAATCTAAGTAGGATTACTGATTTGCAACTTTAATCATTCCCTACATTACTTCTCATCCCACTGAGGGGCAATGTAGGGGATTCCATCTACTTAGGAATCCCACTTCCAAAGTAGACTGGATTTTAAAGTCTATAGTGAAATTAAACATGGATTCTGAACATAGTCCTGCAGTCCTAATTCTGCAAAATGTGAGGCAAAAGTTTAAGTCACATTGAAAATGATGACTTACAGTCTTGTCTTGAGTCAAATCAAAATCTGTTTTTCATGCAGATTAAAGTTGTGAAAAGACTTCTTTCTGTTCCCATAAGTATATTTCAGCCCTAGCTTAAGCAACACTTTTCTAATTCTATTGAGTACAAGAAAATTTAAGTTATCAACAGTCTATAGTTCACACATTGGTCACTTGAAGTCAGTCTGGAGTCTTGACAACAGAGGAACTTTTTGTTTGGGGTGTATTACACCTCCAAGAAAGTTTGTAAATGAAATGTATGTTTGTTCATATTTTGAATGGGAAGGTAAAGCCTTCCTTGGTCGTAGAAGGACTGAGAATTGTCAGGAGTTGCAAAATGTTTAGCCTACTCCATTTTTTCTAACATATAAAGCATTTATTGTCTGAAGCAGCAGACTAAAGTATGGTAATTCTAGAAACAGGTACTTTTAGATGTAGAACTATTATTTTATAGATTGTTGGAAATACCATTTTCACTGAGATTTGCTGTTATGATTAGATGCAGATTTATTTTCACGTAAAAAATGCCTGGTAGAAAAAAAAGGACAGATCTTTCTTTAAGTCACCATTATAACCATGCAAGTCCGCAAAACAATATAATTCTAAGCAAGTGAGAAAAGGAAATACTCTGTTTGTGACAAATTAGAATTATTTTTGAGCCTAAAGAAAGTTACTTCATTTTAATGATGTATTGCCTAACCATCACAAGCTATTCAGCTGCCAATGGCTAATTTAAAAGAAAAGAAATGCAAGAGTCCAAATGTAGATATTTGTCTAGAGAAATTTTCCTCATTGTGAGAATCGCTGCTTCAAGTCTGTTAAAGCCCTATGGATTTTTTGCTAGCTTTTAAAAATCAGAAGACATATGATTGCACAGTTAGAGTTTCATATCTTAAACTGTACGCTGTTATTAATTGTTCAGAAGGCATTGTGTACTGCTTATCATTAAAGAAATTAATATCTAATTTTTTTCTCCTATTCAGCCACCAGAAAAAGAGGGTGGCCTGCCTCGCCAGGTAGGCAATAAGACGGAGTGTGGCCTCTTGGGATTTGTCCTGGATTTGAAGCAGGATTATGAGCCTGTTCGGAACCTCATTCCTGAGGAGAAACTCTATAAAGTTTACACGTTCAACTCTGTCAGAAAGTCAATGAGTACTGTCATTAAAATGCCAGATGGTAGTTTCCGAATGTACAGCAAAGGAGCTTCTGAAATTGTTCTGAAGAAGTAAGTTCGATTGATTAGTTGCTGTGTTTTTCCAAAATGCAAAACATTCTGACACTAATAAGACATACATGGGAATTTTGGTGTTTGGAAATTGCTACTTATAGTAGAAATACTTAGTATGCAGTAGACACACTTTAGTAGTATAAGCTGTTATTGTTCTTTTCTAATTTTTTTTTTAAGTGCTCACTCTTGCAAAAATCTTTGGCTTATTTTTCTTATCACTAGCTAGCCAAAGAATTGGGTCTGCATTTGATAGTTTACGAACGGATTCTTTACATTCAACCCATTTGGAAAATAAGGATTTTTCAATTTCATTGTAAGTTGTCAGCTCATTAACTACATGGGTACTGAGGAAATAAGGGAGGAAGGGCTCTTGGTGTCTCTGTAATAAGTTACAAACAAATTCTCTGATCTTTCAGTAGTAAATCTTGTTTAATCTAGAAATTTACAGTAGAAATTTAAAACGTGCCATCAAAAAAGCAAAGTGTTGAATGAAATGAGCTGATACAGGGAAATACTTTTCAGCAGTCATGCAAATACACAATCAAATCTTTTTTTTCTTTTTCATTTTCTTAAATAAAAAAGGTGTTCCAGGATCCTTAATGCAGCTGGTGAACCTCGTATCTTCAGACCACGTGACCGAGATGAAATGGTGAAGAAAGTAATTGAACCTATGGCCTGTGATGGACTGAGAACTATCTGTGTTGCTTTCCGAGACTTTAACAGCAGCCCAGAGCCTGACTGGGACAATGAAAATGACATATTATCTGACCTGACCTGCATTTGTGTTGTTGGCATTGAAGACCCAGTAAGGCCAGAGGTATATCAAATTCTTATGTTATAAGGCATTTCTCAGAGAACTGAACATAAATTGAACTACTGATTTCTTGCAGTTTTTATCTTTTTTTCTCTTAATTAGCTCTGTCAAAGAAGATGGACGTGAGCTTTAGAAATAGACTTTACTTGATAAAAGTCAGATAATTAACTTGATAAAGATCAACTATTAATCAACCAATATTTAAATAAAGCAAAATAGGGCTTTTTGAACTCAGGATTGAGATGACTTAACCTTCTCTCAAGGAGTAGTATACAGGAGGACTGATCAGCAGTTTTATTATGCTTGCAGATATTAAAGAATTTTTCTTTAGGTAATATGGTGATATGCAACTCTGAAAGTAGATAAAAGATGTGCAGTGATTGTAATTGCCATGATTATAACTGCAATGTGCTCGCTTTCCACAGAAATTGCATACAGTCTTGGAGTTTCGTGTTTTACTGTAACAGTTGCCACTTTACTAATTGTCTTAAGATGTAACTGGTGGCTACTCAGGAAAACTGTTTTTAATGTTGTGTTTGGACAAGGAAAACTTTGCTATGAAAAGGCTGCAGATTTCATGGATACTATATGTAAATGGCTTGTAAAAATATGACTAAAATTTCAACTCAACTAAACTGAGAAAATCAGTACTGGGTTCGCCCACTGGAAGCAGGTGCCTGTTACTACACTTGTAAATTGTATTACTACAGTAATACAAAGGGCAGATTAAGAGGCAGAAACTTTGTTTCTGACCTATGTATATGGTGCTCGATAATTAATCTTGATAGTGGAGAATTAATTCCATTTTACCGTTTAGAAACAGTGACAGAAGGCAAGTCCCAAAGTTGGAAGTGCTGAGCATAAAATGCAGGCATTTTGGATGTCTTTTTCTCGCTGACTCAGCCTTGAGTGCGTGGCCATGGCTGCTGGGTAGGCAGAGCTGCAGCCGCGCGGTGTGATGTGAGAGCACCTGCCCCAGCACCTCCTGCAAATGGGGGGAGCGATTCATGCTCTCCTGTTTTGCTCCAAGAAATGCACTCTTTGATTCTGCTGTTATTTCAGTAGATGATTAATGGCTGTGGTTTGCTTTGGATTAAGGTCATTGAAAGATAACTCAAATTCCTCTTATACAAAAAGAGTGGGTTCTTATGGTGCAAAAAGTAAGTAGTTTGGTACCAATCTTTTTCTTTTTTAGTCTTCTGTCTCATTTGGCATTTTTACTGGATCATCTATTTAATCACGTCTAAATACTTGTATTTGATCCACTGAGAATTGGTGGCAATGCTAGACAGGTTAGGAAATTATTTTTTTTAATAAAACATTAAAAGTATAAATTAATCTGATTTATTTCCCCAAGTCCTTTATAGAGTAGGCTTTTACATACTTCTGACTCCTGTAACTTTGGAAACTAGCATGATATAATTACAGGTACAAACTATGTAATAACTAGTAATAACTACAGGTACAAACTATGCTTTGCGTAATAATGGACTTTGTTGGTTTTTTTCCAATATCAAGAAGGTTATAATATAAAGTAAATCATGCTTAGATAAAAAACGTATGATAAACTCCTTATCTCCACAATCATTAGATTAACAGCATTCACTTTATCTGTCATTGGATGGTCTCTTGCTAATCCATCTGTCCCTGCACCTGACATTGCAAGTCTTTAAAAATATTTCAAAACATTCTTAAAATGTTCTGTCTGCAGTGATCCCTTAATGCTCTAGCTCACATATATATATAAACTCGGAAAGTTTTTAACTGTCAGTGACTACTGGAACTGTGAATCAGTCCTCTTTCCCTCCAGAGCTGATTCATGATCCATGTTGTTAGAAGATAGCTTTAAGTCAGGTTATGTGTGATATGACACACTGAGGGAATAGGTAGCAGTGGGATTTGCAGTTATTATTGAAAACAGCTGCAAACTATCCTTTCATGTGATTATTATGGGTGTGTTTTATAAGAAAACTGCTCCCATTTCATAGGGAATAATTTCTTAGGAGCTTGAGGTAAAAATGAATAGTGTTGCTAAAAATAAAGAGGTCAAGTCTGACTTCTATGTAAAGGATCAAAGAAGATGAAGGCAGGAAAACATTTTATTTCTAGATAATTATTTGAATAATGAATTTCTTGTGGTTTAACACCAGAATATGCAGTAACACTTCTTACTTCATTGCAAGACACACAATAAAATGTCTATCATTTCAGAATTTTACCAAATGTTGGACAAATCTCCAGTTCTCTTTGGGACTTTGTTTTTTGTTTTGGTTTTTTTTCCCCTCCTTGTCCCTTTTGGCTGTTTTAGAGTGGTAATAACATCATGAGAACATTTAAAACAATGTTTATATTATTACTACTCCACACATTGGTAAAAAGCAGTAGCAGTACCTTGGGGGGTGGGGGGGGTGGGAAGAGAACCAAAAAACCCCAAGCCAGAAGAAAAACATAAATTTCAGAAAAACTGTCTAGGTATGAAATATCTGACTTAGTTGGAATATCATAATATACACATGTTACAATGGTGAAATCACCATGGTAGATGCAAATAGTAAGATGTTAGGCTGTTATAAGGGACCTTACTATTTTGCCAGAATTAAGCCCACTTATTATATAGAGTCACCACTGGAGTTTATAAATTTTCAATGTGCTTTCTGTAGGGAAGAAAGAGCATTAAAAAATTAGAAATCTTGCTACAACTGCTGTTTCATTAATAGTCTCAGTATTCATGGATATCAGAATTTATTCTGACAGAAATGATGGAATAGGTCATTCCAATGAAACAATCCAATGTCACCACCCTGGCAGCCCTTAGTTTCCCTTAAATTACATTCCCATTTTTTCCTGGGGAAGGTTCAGTTTTTCCTTTCCCCTAAGATAATTGTTGGAGTTAACACATGCAAAATGGTAGCCTCCTTGTTTCCACAGAGCTCCTGTGGCACATTGCTCATATGCATCCTTGGAGTGTTTAAGTAAGTGAATACCTGCAGTGTCAGTGGTGTCACGCTAGCATGGTTTCAGAAATAAGAGTGCTGCATCTTTTCTGATCGTATTGCTGGGGGCTTTCTTGCACTTGCATTTCCTTCTGTACATTAAAAGAAGCTATTTGGATGAATTATTCAACAATGATATCCAGCAACTGACCAGCTTTATCTGGAGTGTAACCACTGGACACCCATGACTTCTGCATAATTCCTAGGTTAATCTGACACCACCTTAGTCATTATCAGTGGCTGTTTTTATCAAGTACTGAACTACCTGCTTGATATTTATCTTCTGTGTGTGTGGGGGGGTTTCTTTGATAAATAAACAAGAAGAGAACAAATAGAATGATGTGTTGTTCCTATAGAGATTTCTCTGTCGATTCTGACAGTCTTTCTGGGTTGATTTTAATGAGTCTGTACTGGCTTATACTGATTTGCCGTGTACGCCTACAATCTGTTATATCTGGGAGATGAAGATAAATCACTTCCAAATGTCACCTATTTATTTGTCACCTGATTCTGATAGATATTCCTGCATTGGATAATTTATGCATGCATTAGAAGGTTTTCTCTGCAGAGAGAAAATAAACCAGAAAATCATAAAATATGTACTTATGCTCTGCAAAACTGATGGAAAATATCTGCTTCCACTGCCTACTCAGTCTGCCAACACTCTTTCTTCCTTACAGCAATAAAAAAATATGAACAATATTTTAACTGTAATTACTGTACACAGTATTAAATCAGATACCACCCACCAGCTGTCCAAAAAATGAGAGAAGAGGAAAATAGAATTATTTCTCTAGTTATATGTGAGTTTGAGATGTATTTGAAACTAGGTTGTCCTCCCATGACCTTATTTAATAGGAGTGGCACTTTATGTGAACAGACCGTTTTTTCTGTTTGCGCTGTAATTTATATTTCTCCTTCATGGTTCATACACTGTGCTGGTTTTACAGATAGTCACCTAAATCTGTCATATCCTATGCATGAGGGTCTCCACAGTTAAAGTGGATACTAAGGGCATTCCAAAGTGGCAAATGGGATATAGTCAGGATTATTAATGTGGAAACTGGGTAAATCAGGAGTCATTTGCTTAAGTAATAGATTTAATCTGATTGTATGTCCCCCATAGAAGTCTATTTCATAACGTTAAAAGGCTTCAGGTCCAAATAATGTTTCCAGGATACAACTTCTGTGAAGAATATTCTCAGTTAGTAGAGATGAGGAAATGGGAAGATAAACCTTTGCCCCTTAATTTTTCTCTTGGTTCTGTAATCTGCATTGGCAGAGGGTCATTCTGCAAACAGTACATTCAATGGATGGAGTCTGAGGGTGAAGTGATTTTCTTCGTAGTCATGGGAGAAGTACTAGTCTGATCCTCAATTAGGTGTTAGTTTAGTGTGGCATTTTGGAAAATAGAAGCTTCACGACTGCCTTTAACAAAGATGCAGAAACACGGTGTGAAATGATATTCACTGATTAGAATAATCATTATCTACAATATGGTTTAAGGGTGTATAATTTCAGCCTGATGTGCAGTCCAAGATGTATAGCCTTTCTGGCCCCATGAAACCATTAGAATCCCAGCATTTGCCACACTGGATCAGAGCAGTGGTTGTCCTGTAAAAGGCAATGTCCTGCCCTCGGCAGTGTCACACACTTGTGGCTGTAGAGGAAATTAAAATATCTAGAAACACACAAAATAGTGTAATGTTGTAGATGGTGGCTGTTTTTCTTAATACTTTTGGTACTAATGGATGAGATGAATCCGCTCTAATTGGCATTGAGTTCTACAATACACTTATATCTATGATAGAGGTTATGATCAGCAAGCTGCACTGAACTGGCAGTAGAATATAGAGAGGCCTTGCTATTGTAGCCAGAAATACCCATTTTGCTACCCCTTCTTAAATAGTTGTTTGGTTTGGGTTGGTTTTTTTTACATTTTTTTTTTAAATTATTTGAAAATTAAAATTCTTTTCATACCATATCCTTTACTTACTAGTTTCTGTAGGAAATCAACAGCTCTATATACATGATTGCTGACATAATTCATCACAGTCAGACAATCCTGTTACTTTACATAAGTATGTCATCTGAAGAAGCTCAGCTGATAATGTAGCAGCAATTTGCAGTCAGTGGTCAAGTATATGTATTTGGGGAATTTATTCAGATATGGTTTATGTATGCATTACATAGATTGAGAGTGTTTGGTAACATTACAGAGCAAGCATCTAGGGCCAGGTCTTTGGAGCTATTTTAACTTGTGAGGTAACCTTCAAATTGCCTGGAGGTTTACTTAGGATCACTGCCTAATATTCAGATGCTTATCTAAGCCATGCTCATCTTCTGGGAATCTTTTTCCTCTCAGACTGTCAGTTGTCTACTTCAAGTACTTCTCTGCTGCCCCCCATATAAGAACCAGTGCAATCTATAATTGCTTTACATCTGTCCTTTGCTGTCTTCTGCAGTAAGGCAGTTCAGTTTCTTGTAGCTCTGTGAAGGGTTTCTGTCTTCATGAGGAATCCTGGAATGCCCTTAGTCTCTTCTAGGTAAAAATGAAATTTAGAGAAGTGGTGGTGTGCTGAAGTATCTAGGCTGTTCTTGAAGTGTTAAACTCCCTTCTTATTCTTGCATGTCAAATAATGGTGTTATTTTTTTCATGAAGAAATAATGCTTTCATAATAACGCAAAAGTGTGATGAGACTGCATTCATTGGTTAGAGTAATATTCATTAATAAATTATCATTGATTATGATATAGTTTAAGGGAATAGAAATTTTTCCCCATCTGAAACTGAGCAATAGATATGTAGCCTTTCTATAGGCACTGACTTCATATACCCAAGTAGCTTGTATTAAAAGAGCTTTATTTAATTAGTAGGAATCAGTTTCCTACCTCTTGCACATTTTAATTACAAAAGTCTTTTTTTTTTTTTTTTTTTAAAAAATAAGCTGTATATGATGCCAAGTCAGTATATAACCTCTATGTTAATCTCATGGACCCTGTTACACACTGAATTCTCTCTCAGTGGTATGTATACTGTGCAGCAGGAAAAGTTAGTCTCATGCAAAAAGGAGCAACACTAAAATCATACTTCATTTTTACAGTTTTGAAATATGTGAATTATTAATGAAATTTTAAGCTCATATATTTAGGAATTCCACCTGTTGATATGCGTGAATTAGTGTTACAGTGCTAAATTACAGTAACTTTTTAGAGAATCTTATTGAAAGGACAGTTTGGATCAGAAGTTAAATAATTTTCTGTGCAAAATATGTGTATTCTTAGTTTATATTTACATGTATGTTGAGTATGTTAGGTTCAGCATGCTGTACCTTGATGCTAAAAGTCAAAAAAGGTGCAGAGCACTCCTTTTTATTATAAAGTCAGGGGAAGCTTTAGGCAACTGATCTAAAAAATGGTTTGTGTGCTTCTCGATACAAGATTTTTCTTGCCTGTGGTCTAACCTCAATTCCATAATAGCCAGGTAGCTATAATATGCCATAACATGTATGATTTCTCTTTTTGCTTCATGAATTTCTTAGCCTCAAAATATTCTGACTGTAAACACCTGACTTACATTTTATCTCTTATCTAGGAATTTTTTTTCCTGTTATATTGCTTTTGTAGGTCCCAGAAGCCATAAGAAAGTGCCAGCGAGCTGGAATTACAGTCCGCATGGTCACTGGAGACAATATCAACACAGCACGTGCCATTGCCATAAAATGTGGAATCATTCATCCGGGAGAAGACTTTCTTTGCCTTGAAGGGAAAGAGTTTAACAGAAGGATCCGAAATGAGAAGGGAGAGGTAATTCATATACTAAATCCATACATATTATGAATACGTTATTAAAAAATAGCAATAACAGTGAAATGTTGTTTCTCCTGCACTGATGTGTACCTCATATCAGTAAAGACTACTTGGAGATATTGCTACTTCTTTCTACTGCTAGCACTTTACAATGCAAAATACCAGTGAAAATGCAGTCTATTCATGATGCAGAGCCACTATCAGTTTACTGCTAGCCTAATTCAGTAGTTTTTAGAACCACAGTACTAGTCTACAGGAAATCAAAACCAAGCACATTAAAAGCAGGTTTGTTAGCAAAGAGGAGAAGGAACGCAATAGCAGTTTGCAGGTCTGTCTCATAAAAATGCAATCTGTACTGAGAACCAGCTCCTCTCATTATTTTATACCACTTTATCTAATGTACTGCTATATCCACTCACTCTAATGATTTGCATAACTTAATCTATTCTTCAGAAGATTTTTAACTCCTCATAAAAGATGGAACTAACACACAGGCTATTGAAGTCAGCTTTAAAAAAGTAAACTCTATGCTGTGTCTTTGAGTCCATCATTAATGAATGGACACAGTCGTTTACTCCTTGCTTTGATTGATGGAATCCTGGGAAGGTTAGTACATGCAACGGATTTGTCCTTGTTGCTATTGGTATGCAGAGAAAATTCTGCCATTATTGGTGCCAAAATGAAGAACTTGGATTCAAATGTGCAATAGAACAACACACTTTTACTTGTAAATGTTTGATCAGCTTTGAGAAACTCCACTATCCTATATCTAGAGTCATGATTCTGAGTGGAATTATCCATAAAGATGATAAGAAAGCCTGATTAGATACTGTGGCAAAATTTACCTACATTAGCCAACAGCTGAGCTTTGGTAGTAGAAAACTGCCTTTTTTGACCTTGCCTTCATTTGCAGTATTGATGACTGTTGCAGTTTTTCTGTGCTTTTGGAGAAAAGTTGCAGATCCGAGTAGTGAAGTGAATCATCTGACACAGGGATGCGAATATATTTTGCATTTTGCTAATCACAGATTAACAGCTTTACTGTTTTGGGTTTTTTTGTGTTCTGCCCGGCCCCCAGATTGAGCAAGAGCGGATTGACAAAATCTGGCCAAAGCTTCGAGTGCTTGCTCGCTCATCTCCCACGGACAAACACACTTTGGTAAAAGGTGCGTGCAGACTACCTTCACGCGCGTGTGTTATTAATGTCAAAAGTTACTGAATTATGTTCGGCACATTGTCTGTGTTGTAAAAATTTTACTGTTACAAATATATGAGTTGTTATCTTTACTTGCACATCAATACATAATGCAAGGAAGTTTTCTCAGTAACCCAGTCTCTTGCATTTGCATTTTACCTGAGCCTTCAAATGGAAAATAATAGGAAACTAGTTGGCAGGAGTAACAGAAATACCAATAAGATGTCTGGCAAGTAGATGTAGGCAAAGTCATATTTGCCTTGTGACTTTTCATTGGACTAGAATGAGGCTTTAGCTGGGAAGGGAAAATGCATGTTTGCTGGACAGAAAGAAAATATTGTCCAGAAATAGGCTGTTCTTCATATAAACAAGAGGGGGCATAGATTTTTTAGTCTTTACCTATACCTTTTTATGAAGAAAACAAGAACAAGTTCACTTAGAGTAAATCAAGTCACTCAAGTGCATCTGTTCTCCCACAATTATTTTTGAAGAGTATTCCAAGATAAACTTTGCATGTTGCGATAGCAGTTATTGGAGATCATGTAAGTAGGAGCTGCCGTCTGTAGCATTACATGAATGGAGATGTATTTTAAGCCATTCCGTTCTCCTATAGGCTCACTAATTGTATGATTTGCATTGGCTTCCTTTAGAATTCTGGCTGTATTTTTAGAGTCTGTTTTTGTCCTATAAAAACCTCACCATACAAATTATATTCTCTTACCGTACTGTCTGCAGATGGAATGCTCTATAGAAGAGGGATTTGTTTGCAGTTTTCTTTATAAAGCCTTTTTCGTATCTGTAACTCGCAGTTCCTGATGACCTGAAATCTTGTTCTGTTGACTTTGAAGCTCACACTTAAAAGACAGCTGATGAAATCAGAAGATTTCTGATCAGGAGTAGCATCATTTCTGGCCATGATAAGATGGGGGGCCGGCGCAAGCAGAAGCCCCGCTGGCAGATGGCTGTGTTTGCTGGCTTCCTGATGAAGAAAGAACTGGATTATTTTGCTAAGGCCCTAGAAAGTCCGGAGAGACTCTTAGCAATTCTTGGAGGAGCTAAAGTTCAGGATACGATCCAGATGATCAGTTACATGTTTTCAGCTGGTTGAGTACTTAAATAATAATTCACATTTAGGTAGGAGATCCTTTTGGAATGGCAAGGGCTTACTGATATGACTCCACACACGACTGATTACAAAGCTTTTGAGCGGTATGTAATTTTGAAATGCCTAAATGACTTTAGAGCAAAAGTTCCATTGTGAATTTGAAGATTGGATCAGTTGGGTCCTTTGGGATTAGGACCAGTGCATGTGAAGAGCTCTGGAAGCATGGATCATTCAGTAGAACTAAGATACCTTGTAAGCTCTGGCACGGTGCATGAGATGGGGCAGCTGGAGACATAGTGCTGTTACTCACCCTCTCCAGCCATTGTTTAGACCAGTGGTATCCAAAGTGGGGTGCACACACGTCAGGGACAATCCACTGGGATGCAGGAAGAAAATATTTTTTACCATTATTTAATAGGAGAATATTTAAAAAACACTGTTTATTTCATCTCCATCTCATCCTTTTCTAATGTATGTTTTATAAGGCACATAATATAGTAGTACATATGTATAATTTATAAATAATATACATATTTTGTGTGTGTGTGTGCTCAAAAAGATTATACTGATAGGTGTTCATGATTGAAAAGGTTTGGAGACCGCTGGTTTGCACAATATAATTATTAGCTCCATAGGTCAGTATTAAAACAGCACAAAGTTACCTGAAGTCTCCTCACTTCCCTAGTGTATATAAAATACTGTCTTATAGCTCTTAGAGGACATGACTTGTACAGCCTAATAGTTTATTTGTTTCAGAAACACACAACAATTTGTGTTTCATTAAGTGGATTAAATAAGTCCCTTGGGAGTACTCATTTGAATCATTCAGGATTTTCCCTTAAGAGAAAAATGAAACCTTTGCCAGACAAAATGAAATCAATACAGAGCTGAAAAAAAAAAAAGCAGCAAATTAGTGATGTTTTATAGTATATGCACTTTGACAATCCGAAAGATATTTACTACTTCTGAATGCCTTATGCAACTAATACAATTAATGTTTTAAAGATGTCACAAGGTCAAATCATAGAGCAATTAAGTATCTAACGAGGTTCAAGAGCAAGTCTGTGGAAAATCATGATGGAATTTTTTGGTTGGTAATACTCGAAGGGCCATTAAAAGTTACAAGAAACTATTTAAATGTTCACTAGTTTTGGGCCTCTTGTTAAAATGTTATGTTTTTCTCAGACACTTGAGGGATCAAGAGGATTTTCTCTTCTTTGATGTATTTTATCTGCTCTAGGGTAAAAACACACATCACAAAATAAACTTTTTTTATATTTAATTTTTAATGACATACAGCTGCTGGAGGGAATATTTTTTCTCCTTAACAGAGCACAATCCCACCCAGCAAAAGGATCATTTTTATTTTGCATTTTTGTTTTTACTACTGCTAAGGGACTAGAGAAAGGCATAGTTCAGCATTTCAGGCTGGGCAGATAGTTTCTCTCAAATTTTTATGGCTTTGAAGTAGAGGTAGATTGAAAAAAAGATGTCAAAATAGTTTATCATCACAAAGGGTTTCAGTGAAACAAAATGTTAGATATCTCAATCCAACTGAAATACAATTTCTTATGGATTTTATGACATCCGTTGGTATAATTTCATATTTTTTACCTTAGTTCAAAATACAACAAGTAAACATGCATATCATTTATACTGATGTGTCCTTATAATACTATTGCTGAAATACTTCAATATTGTAATATTGTTTTTTAAAATACTATGGGAAGCAACTGTTTAGTACTGATGGGAAATATCTTCTTATTAGAAGGTATAGTGAAGATCAAATAAATATTCAGTTTACCAGTTAAAGCAGCTGTGCTTTCCAATACGTTTAAATTAGGCTGGAATTATTTTTCTGTGATATTAAAAACAACTATTCTATTCACATGTAAGGCTGATTTATTAACAAGCAGAAAGGGAACTTTAAAGAAGAAAATATTTTTAGTAATTGCCCTTAATTACTAAAATATTTCAAATATTATTGCATGGGACAGTATTATAGTTGTGACCTTGTTAATGTGGACATGCCATGAGACTAGGTAGAATAATACAAATATAGAAAACTGTATTAATTGAAAATCTGATATTAAATATCAGCATGTTGCAAATTGCAAGTGGTTTTGATTTCCATTTGAGAGAAAATTTTAATATTTATTTTTATTCAAATTCATATGAAGAAATATTCAGAAAGTTGACCTGTTCCACAATGTAAAAAGTCAGCTCAACCAACCCTTCCCTGAAGCGAAGAACATAAAAATAGTTTAAAGGAAGCAGGAGGTATACTGCATTTGAATCTAGAGGTTTGGATTCTGTAAATACCATTTAGGTCTCTGCAGCCTGTGTTCAGTGTAACTTTGTGAGAGGCACTGATGCCTTCAAGGTTCCCCTGTAGTGTTTCAGTCTTATAATATAAAGCACATTGGTGGTGCACACTTAGTACAGAAATCCATGCGTTTTCGCCATGTTCTTTTCTGCCATTCTAATATCATGAACTTTGTGGAGCACTATTCACTTAACAATTACCAATGCTGTCTCTAATGTTATATATAACACTTTTATGTTAACCTTTAAAGCTCTATTCCTGCATGTACTTAAGCATGTAACTAAAGTGAATTTAAATTTTCTCTTTCAGACAGACTTTCTAAATTCTTGTTAAATTAACAGGGAGCTTCAAAAAGTTTGGAAATATTAAAAACTAATCTGAACAGAACATGCCTATGAAAATATATTACTGCATCTGTCTATGTTTAGCTTGTCAAAGAAATATAAATATGTGTAAGCATATGGGATGATCAGCTTTACTGCATTGGTAACACCTGAATTGGTGTGCATCTTTGAAATGCTCTACTGTAGCTAAGTTTTTCCTGTCTGCCTGTTTTGAGTTAATCAGTTGAGACAGAAAGAAATATCTAAACCAGGAATGTTTTTCACCCAGAACCAAGGGTTTCTTACTGATGCGACTCTAAGGATGATAATGCAACTAAGAAGTGTTTAAATGAAGCGGCATTTGTTCTGCAATAAAGGGAGAACCTGAGGCTATACTTGATGTTTTTGATCTGAGCCATGGGTACAGATAGCTCCTTGTAAAAGAAATGGAAGACACATTGTTGGTTAATATTCCTTATATTATTATCCTGAGTGGATTTGATTTAATGCTTCCTTAACATTAGATGGGAGGAAGGGGGGAAATACAAGGTGTATTTCACTTTCAGCTGTGTATGCAGTGCTGGTACCTTTTATAGCAAGCTTGTGCATATAGTGCCCCTCTTGATAGCTACACAGAGTTGTTTTAAATGTGATTTTTTCCCTCATCAGAAACAAGCTCCTTGCTCAGAAAAAGTTACAGCTTATGCAAGCTACATGACTCCTCCCCAAATTCTTGCAGCATCAGCAGAATCTGCGTGGGGGACACACTGTAATGTTATCTCTAGGTGTATTCCTGTGTCTGTTGAATAAAATTCTTTTTGACAGAGGAAGGTCATGGCCAAACAGCTTAAGATGAAGAAGCAGACCAATGAAACAGCAGAGGCTGTTTTGGGAGGAAGCTTTGCTGAGTTTTAGGAATTTTTAAATTTTTAAGTTTTTATTAAAATACTGTATGTAAGCACTCAACTGGAGTAAAGCAGTTTATTTTGAAGAAATTTCCTGGCTGTTAGGGATGACTAATTAATACTGAAGCTTTGTGTTAGCTGTTTTGAACGAGTGGAAAGGCCAGTAAATGTTAAAGAAATGGGCATTCTCTTAATTGGCAGTCTGTCGGGTCATGCCTTTATTTACATTTTTCACTGATCACTGAAGCAGTTGTTCTCCACAGCTCAAGAGTTCAGAGGGGGAACCCTTTCTAAGCATCCCTTTTCTGTTTGGTGTCCTTACACTGTAAAATCTATACAGATGTATTACTCGATACTGAAGAAAATTCTCGAGGTGAAACCTTACTGCAACTATTAACAGAAAAAGAAAGAAAAAAAAAAAGTAAAAGTAAATGTGGTTAGGAAGGAGGAAAGTGCTGCAAAGAAGAAAATTCAGAAACGTGAGGAATGGGGAAGGAGGAATAGATTAAAAAGAGCATGCAGAAGTCAGGGAGCATAAGTATAGCTATGATAAATCCTCTGAATCCCAAATAATCACTACTGCTCCATTTTAGAAATTTGTCTGACGTACAAATGAAAGTTCTGCAAAGATCTTCTCTCTTCCTGTGAATAGCACTGAAGTCCATCCACATACTGTTGTGCCGTGCATTGATGTATTTCTGATGACACTAGCAGTGGTCACTGCGATGAAGGTGTGTGGCTGAGATGCTGGTGGTAACCAAGACCATTTTATCTCTATCTTTCCGTGACTGCTGATTCTGTGCTCTAGAGGGTGTTGGGCTTATCCCGGCTGCATAGTTTGCTTTTAGGGATAAAAATGACTACTAAACCTTCCGAATGACTACTAAACCTTGTGAATTACTTAGCTGCATCCAGCAATTGGCTGATGCAGGGCAGTTGGTAGTATAGTCATTGACACTAGAGCACTATTTATACCTATTAGGAGGTCTTTTGTTAGAACCTCTTCAACTTGATTTGGGTTGTGCTCCCATTTGGAACCCACTTGTGATAGGATGCTACCTACCTGGTTGGAGCAGTTAATATCATGATGTGTCAAAGATTTTAATGACTTTTTTCAGAAGCTTAAACTATTAATTTAACATCAAAGGTTGTGATAATAATAAGAAAGGAAGACCAAGATAAATGCTTTTAACAGTAATGGCAGCTGATGGTCCTGTTTATTTAGTAACACCAAAGGCAAATCACCCCAACAAATTGAAAGCTCTCATTATAAGATCTTATCAGAATAATGTGTCATTTATCTGAGCTCATACTGCCAACGGAAAGTGAATAGGTTTTTTTCTGATTTTAATAAGACTGAAAAATACAGGACACTAACTGCATCCATACTGCATTGCAATCTTCTGCGTGCCTGATAAGCCTGAACCTTGCCAAGAGGCAGCTATTGCTCAGTAATCGGCAATTTCCTATTTCTGGTTAGTTATCTGATATGTGAGTTATTTTTTTCCAGAGTAGAATGAAAGCTTTTCACACTGGGTAGGTTTTGATGATTTGTTTTAGAGGTTATGATTTTGTGCAAAATGCGTTAGTGAAAGGAATTTTGTCATTTTTTCCCACTAAGTCGTTAATATGGAGAGGTGTTCTTGTATCGTACACAACAATCTTGTATTCTGGACTCATATTCAAATGGACTCTGACATGGAAATAAAAACATGAGTGGTGAATGATCCCCATCCTATTAAAAACCAGGGCAGCTTCTGTAACCTCAGAAAAATTCTTGATTCTTTTCCTTACTTTCCCCATCTGCATAAGTGGAAAATACTTCCCTGCAGGCTAGTTGCGTGAAACTTGATTCACCAAGTGAAAAGTCCTTTCTTTTCTCAAAAGATCTCAAAATGAAAGTAGAAATTATTTTATTATGTCTATTTATTAAAATGTTTGGCTCCAGAATTTAAAGAATTATTTTATATCTTCTCAATCATTGTTTGGCAGAACTGAACATGTATGTTAAAATGCTAATTTGGCTCCAGCTAAATATAATTCATCAATGGCATTTGTTATCTTTAGGTTAAACTGATTGCCAGAAGGCATAGCAGTAAAGCAGATATTCCAGTTCAGTCCCAGTTTAGGACAGCTTTAAGCATGAACTTAAGTCTTCAGCAAATCCTTTCCATTGATGTTTAATCAGAGAGCTGGGCTGAAATGGGTTTACTGTGACACATAATTTTAAGTAGTAGAAATCTTCCAAAAGAACATAATGAGCTGATCTCATTCCCTTTGAAGTGTATGCAAGTTTTGGTGATGTTTTGATGATGCAGGATCAGAACTTTCGTTGTAAATTCTACTAGTGATGTCTAGTAGCGTATATTAGTCATGACACTGCTTTCATCATTATTTTCCTTAAAAATCACCTCTATTAATCTCTGTAAGACTTGTGTGGTATTATGTAGTCTACATTACACAGAGCCTGCTATTTTTCAGAGGGAATTTTTATCTTGCTAATTATTTTATATATATGTATGTATACACTCACATATACATTTTTTGCAGGTATTATTGACAGCACACAGGTGGAACAGAGGCAGGTTGTAGCTGTGACTGGTGATGGAACCAACGATGGACCAGCACTTAAAAAAGCTGATGTTGGCTTTGCAATGGTATAATCTTGAGCATATTTATTGATGTTTGTGTCATTATAAATTTGCTGTAAGAGGTTTTTCATTCATTAAATGTTGAGAAAGTTGCTTAGTTATCACTTCTCAATGAAGCAATATATTGGAGAGGATGAGTTATGTTGTTTTAGAATCCTTTAATTTACTATGTTAGATTCACTGGTATTGCTATCTTTGATACTTCTTCAATATTTTATATAAGGTAATTATTGGCTATGTGCAGAATCTGGTGCCAACACAGAAAAATGAACTCTGTGTTCTTCACAACAGCGGAGTACTATTTTGCTTTGGTAAAATCCATCACTAATTGTAAAGATGTCTTCCCAACCTACTCTGACTCTGAAGACATTAATATACTAGACTATATATTACGATATGTAATAGCTATTTTTGTTAGCAATTCTGTTCATGTTTATTAATAAAATGTCATCAATGATAGGAATAACTCAGAAGATCAGTAGTCATTAAGCTGTTAATTTAAAACACTCAAAACTATCATCACATGAATGCCACTGCTCTCTATCAATTCCCTTTTCTGCACCCTTATTCACTTTCAAAAATAGGCCAAACTAGATAACTTCCTAGCAAATATAAAATGCAGAATATACTCAGCTGTCACTGTTACTATGTGCTGGGAAGTCTCTGTATAACTGTGGACTTTGAATGAGTATGAAGATTTGTATTCTAACTGTCACTGTACTTTTTAGTAGGTAATTTTATTCACAATTAATTTTTCCAGGGTATTGCTGGAACAGATGTTGCGAAGGAAGCCTCGGATATCATCCTAACAGATGACAATTTCAGTAGCATTGTGAAGGCTGTAATGTGGGGACGTAACGTCTACGATAGTATCTCCAAGTTCCTGCAGTTCCAGCTCACTGTTAACATTGTGGCTGTGATTGTGGCTTTCACTGGTGCATGTATTACCCAGGTAAGGTTAACTTCAGATGTTGCTTAAAGTGTGGGGCCAAATCCTACCAAGCTATGTTTTCTTTTAAGTAACGGTGGCTTACATTTGATTCTTGCTTTGTACAACAGAAAGTATGCTTTCTGAAATTCTTTCGAGCATCAAAAGTGTATTTAGGATCAAGCTGCTAAATGTTAAATAGCTGTTGACATAAGGAAGTGTATTAATCCATCTTCTCCTGAAAGTAAATTGCTTTTAGGAGCTGCTAATTTTTGTGCTGCCTCTATACAGCTCCCTGGTTTTGATTACATATTATTGTCATGACTGAGCCTGTGATGGTAGGACAGAAAATGTCAGGGATTGGGAGAAGAAAGAGGTTATGTGACTTTGCCTTTTACTCTCAGAATATTTCCCTATTAAATATGTATTTCTTGATGGATTATGGAACGGTATTATTATTTTCAAGAGAGCAGTACTGGCACACAGAAGTAATCCCAGCAGGGGAGCTTTTTGACTGATAAAATTATTTTGTTGCTTTCAGGCAGTTCCTTTTAATTTCAGATGCAAATGACAAACCAATTAAATGACACATACAGTTGGACTTCGATCTCTTTTTCTCCCTCTACATTAATCCCTCACTGCAATCCTGGTGTACATGCAACATGTCTAGGTCTTTCACAAAAATCATATGTGAAAGCAAACCACATTTTTTCCCTTCAAATTACTACTTTTTGATGAATAAACTTAAGTCGTCTTTTCCCTAGAAAGAAAACAGGATGTATTTAGCACAGTATGAGGTTTTTGTCCATTAGAAAATAGCAAAACATGCAGTTTTTAGAGTTGTCACCCTCTAAAATAATGTATATTTCCAATGCTGCAGACAGGTGCTGTTACAAAATGCCTCCTTTGATTGAGACGCACTATGGGAAAGCTGATGCTTCCCTGTCTTGTGCATCATTCGGGTGCACATACCTGTTTCAGCAGGTAAATTTCACCTCCTGCACACCTGAGCAAAACAATGAATAAGTCATTAGCTCTGCTCCAGGGTAAACTTACATTGTAATCATGGAATTGATACTTGAAAGAAGAAACCCAGGTACCTTTACAAAACCATGAGGTCAAACTTCTAAGCCTTGACTGACATTTAGAGGCCTTTTTTGTGCTGCGTATGAGGAGTCTGCAAGCTCCCAGCTTCTGCCAGCACCATGCAACAGCTGGGTAGATACAACTGTCATCATTTACCTCCTCTGAGCTAAGCAAGCAATAGGCTAGTGCTAGGGCTGGGATTCTCAGAGAAATCAGAAATGGCTGTTTTTGAAGCAAGTGGAAGTGATCTTAACAAATGAAATAACTATTTTATTCTGTGCAAAGGAAACACTGAAACCTCAATTCACTTGTTTTCCAAGAAGTAAAAATTGCAAGCTGCTAAGTGCTAGATCCCTACCCTACTGCCCCCAGGTCTTGGTGATGCCTTGTTGTCATGACTGAGCCTGTGCTATGGGACAAAATTACTGATATTGAGGCAGAAGTTGGATAACTTTTCCTTTTTCCTTGGGAATTATTTTCAAGCATAGTGAGAAAATGTTTAGCTGTAAAGTGATTGTTGCTGGTAACAGAAGGTGTATGAATAAGGACTAAAAGTCTAGAAGGTCAGTTCTCCTGGATTTTTATCAGTGGTAAAAAACCATACAGAAAAAAGTGCTAACAGCAATGTGGTAAGAACACCGTAACTGGAACTGAGGCAGGTGCTTCCTTTTAAGACCCTGTTTTATAAACATTCAATCACTGCCTACTAACATTTACTTAAGGTGAATTTTTTTTTTTGTTAGTGTCCAGCATTTTTTTCAATTGCATTGTGAAAGCATCAGAAATATATTCTATTTGTTAACTAAGGAATTTCTGTTATTCTTGAAGAGGTTAAACATTACTGAATCAGTGTAAAGACTATTTTAAATCAAGTCTAAGTGCATGTGTAGTGTGTAATCAGTGCAAGCATATTCCCCTTTCTAATTCTGGAGCTTTCTTCATCCTTTGAATCATTCGATTGGCTTCTAGAAGGATTTGGATCAGGCCCAATGCATTTATATTGCCCCAGTGGTCTGTAAGGCCATCGCTGAGCCTGACAAGTCTATTGTCACCGTTTACAGATTTTAATGTATACTTCCTAGAATTCCTGTATTTCTGTCCAAATAGATTCTTATGCAAGTCCTTAATTTGGCAGTAAAAATGCAAATCCAAAGGAGATGTCTGAAAGGAGCTAAAATTGAAATTGTAGCAAAAAGGCAGCAGTTATTTCCATTCTAGTTCTGTTGACACTCAACAACCTGACTGCTGATAATCTCAAGTAGCTCTCAGTTCTGTCTCATTCAAGAAGGATCTTGCCTTACAAATGAACGTTATTATAGAATCACAGAATCATAGAATCATTTAGGTTGGAAAACACCTTCAAGATCATCAAGTCCAA